ACACTTTATCACTTTCATAATTCATTAGTTCCCAGGAACAGCTATGATCAGTGATTTTTTTCATCATGGCCAGAAAGATTAAATTCTGTAGGAAGCCATAAAATTCAAATCCTGTGAGAAACCATGAGCTGATCCACAATGGGAGACTCTGGCAGAAGTTCAAACCAGGGAACTTTCAGCCCTTCCTTGATCAGGGAAAAAAACAGAAACAACTGACAATTTAATGAAAGAATCACTAGGAAAGAGAAGAACGACAAAACAGACATAGATTGACCAAGGCAGTCTGGAATTATGCGACCAAAAAATAAACTGCAGCTTAGACATCAGGTGGAAGAAGCAGAGACATCAGCTTACAGAATAAATAAAAAATGCCTTGAGAAGAGAAAACAGATAAACACTGACAATGTTTTACAAGAACACAGCACTCAAAGGCCACACAGTACCGTCCAGAAGGTCATCAAGAAATAGCACAAGAAACAATGTTAGGGACAGATAGTAGGAACTTTCAAACAAACAGAGCTGTTGCAGAAACGTACCACAAACACACTAAGGACTTCTATCTATGTAGTCTAAATTTCCCTCTTTAGCAACATCCAGCTAAAGCTCTTTCTCTTAGTGGTTGTGAGCCAAGTGCATGAAAAAGGGCCAGAAGGAGATTTACATGTGCCTGGAGCACTGAAACAATAACCTGAAGGAATTACATCACACTCTTGTGAGCTGCTGTAAAGCACAGCAGGTAGGACAGGCACAGTGTATCATGACAGACACAACAGCCTCAGCACTGGAGCTACAGTAGACATGGTAGCCTCTGTACCCATACCCACTGCAGTCCCTAAAGCCAGGACTCATTCCCCAGGGGCAGGAAACTGCTAACCTGCAACAGTCAGGAATGTTAGTTTCTGGGAGTAGGAAAGTTGGTAACCTCTGCCTTGGAGCGTTCCCGTCTTCACAGTGAGCTTTACTTCGCAGTGAGCTTGCTGAGGGTGGCACAACAGCAGAAAAGCTGTCCAGTGCTGCTTTCTGCAAAGGTCAGTGCAAGCAAGGTCATGGCAACCATGGTATCAAACCGGAGACTTATATTAAAGGAGGGAAACATCTCTTGTTAGGAGACTATGGATTTATAATCTGAAAATAGAAATAAAAAAGTGGAATCACACTCATGATGATAAATCTCACATTCACCAGAATCTGGAAAAATGAGAGCATCAGAAGAACACCCAATCAGGACTTTTGGGGATGGTTGTGCTCTCAGTAGTCCTCTATCAACATAACGGCTGCAGAATAAGGATTTCATATCTTTGAATTCAGATGTTTCTGAAGGATTACATAGATACGAGAAACAGAGAATAAGACTAATATTGCCATTAGAGAAGAAGCTGAAGTAGTTGGGTCCCATGAGCCTACGTAAGCGGTAAGATGGAAATTGGGTTGGTTTGTCCAAGTGACCAGAACAACAGGACTAGTGAATACAATTCTGTGGAGAAAAATCAATAAGGAAAGGAAGGCAGAATGCTCAGGGACAGTGTGACTCAAAGACATCTGCATCTGGATGAAGAAATGATGGGGAGATCTAAAGAGTAAAGGAAACATGAATACAGATTCCAATCAGTGCCTAAAGATGACACTCTTCAGAGCATGCTGCTGTTTTAAAGGGAAAAATGAGATGATCATAAATATTCATAACAGTTCATATCCTGGCCATGTCCTGTTCGCTTACTGAGTTGCACAAAGGACACAAAACAGAGTATGCTCAACAATGAACCACTAACTCATGTTGCTAATGCTTCTATCGCCCATTAAAAAAATAAAAAATCAATTATTTCTTATCTCCTTGTTTCAGACCTCTCAAAATTGCCCGCTGATCTACACATTTCCCCTTTTATTTTCTGAAGGTGATATTTTTCTATGGGCTTCTAAATTTCAGGTAAAACTTAATATGCTGTGGCTCACAGAACCCAGCTTACTTTTGCTCTTGCTTTTGATCACATTGTTGACATTCTGCCAGTGTTATGGTGAGATGTAAGTATTTCCTTGCTCTTCAGGTGCCCTGAGTCTGATTTTATGAGCCAAAAAATGTGACTTTTGTCTCTGCAGTTTTCAGCAAGATTACAGCAACCTGGCAGATGTCTGCTTCTAGATTCTGCAAAAGTCATGAGTTCCTGTAAATGGCAGCATCACGATCCCTCCCTAAGCAGCAATGCTCATGTCGGTGAAATGTCCCCCCAGCTACCCACAACACATCCACAGCCAGAGAAAAGCACTTCTCCCTGACTGTCTTCTCAGAGCAGGGTGCCTTGAGGGCAGTAATGGCACTGGGAGGAGACATACATTGTCCCCAACAGTCAACAGAGCCCTTTTAGCTGTACAAACTTGCTGTTTTCTGTGTCTTTCCAAGAACAAGAAACATGTAGCAGGACCCACTTAATGGTCTCCACAAGTGAATGACAACCATTCCCACAAGAGACGTTCCTGTACCAAACCCATCATCTGCCATCCAACAGCAAAGCACTACTTATCAGTAGTGTCACCAGGTGTTTAGATAAAAATAGATTAAGGAAGTATTATGGTTTCTCCCAGGGAAGACATTCCTCGCAGGAGATTGTGAGGCTTTCCCCATGGATGCTGTGCTGGGAGTGCGTCCAAGTAGCCACTGCAGACCTGTGCAGGCTGCTTGACACTGTCGCTGTTCAGAATAAATTTTGGGCTGAGTACTGGTCCTGATGGTGTTAGTACCTTGAGTAATGACCTATCTAAAGCACTCTTCTTACTATTCTTCCATCTATTCTTGCTTGTTCGCAGGCTGCCCAAAAATATCCCATGAGAGCTGCAGGTCTCTGTATGATGAATTCCAGCCTGCTGAGAAATATGCTTGGTTTTGTTACCTCCTATGACCTCTCAGAACAGGGACAGTCCAATTTATGTATACCACCTGCTGAAAACTTCTGTCCTTAGGCTCCAGCAGCTTTTTGTACCTAGTCTGCTTTAGCTATATAATTCCTTGTGATTTGTGGTGTTTTATGCTATTTAACTATATGTATGAGGAAAAGTAGCTGTATGGTGACAAGGCACTTGTATGTGGATACTCCTGACATGGAGGGGCTCAGACTAATATTCAAGCTCCCAAATGGCAGAGCTTCCTGGCACAGAAACAATCAATAGTTCAAATCCAAGTAATTCGCTCATGTATGTGAACATGTACAGGTGCAGCCTGCTCTCTTACAGACACCTGCAACTCAGGATGCCAAAGTGAACATGTGGTTTTTAACAGAAAAAAATGCTCTTAAAACCGGCATCTCTACAAAGGGCTTTATTTAATTGTCGGAGATTTGAGTGAGTTCAGACTCTTGGGTTTTAATTCATTCTCTAGAACAGAACTGGGTTTTGTCTTTATTTTTGTTTCCTGTGTCAGAACTGTGAAGCAGATGCGTTTCAGACTACAGGAATTTTTCATGGTAGATGTTTAATGAAAAATCTGTGACTGAAACATGATCCTTATTATGGAAAAAAAAAACTTGCCAAACATGATTTTTCCAGTTGTGAAAGAAAAGTAAGGGAAAGGGATTGTTTTTCTTGAAGTATGTTTTAAACTCCATATAGCAGTATGGTATTGGTGCATACACTGAGGTTAATCTGTTTGTGCTGATGCCACGTAAACTGATGTTAGGAATGACTTCTGAGAATTACATGGCCCTTGTCTCTTTAAAAAATGCCTACATTGGTGTATTCAGCTCAAAATAGCAGCCTGCTGGGCCTGGGCTAGGCCAAAGGGAGAAGTAAAAGGAGGAAATGCCTTGTTTGGGGAATGAACTATGAAGCTGAACAAGAGACAATCTTGAGCATTTCTTTCCAGTGCGATTATTGGCTGGCTGGAGAACAAGAGCCTGTGCACAGAGGCAAGGGAGAGGAGAGCCAGGTGGATGCCTCCCTCCTGCAGGTGCTAGAGACTAACAACCAGGCAGGCATGGCAAGGATCTGGAGACATTTCCCAGGGCTGTGAATCATGGCTGACTGAGGAAGCTGAGTCACAGTAGCTGAGCTTCACGTCCACAGCTCTGAATTGTGGCCTAGAGAACAGCGTGAAGGAAGATGCATAGCATCTGTGAGCACTGCCATGGCGGTGGGAGCTGGTGCTGCTCGCCAGGGACTCCCGGCGCACTCCTGTGGTGTGAACGGTGTGACTCTGGGCCTCCAGTTCTTTACAACCAGTAAGCAGGCATTTCTGAGGACCCACTGCAGATTTCCTCAACCAGTATCTGTTCATGTGTTGTGTACAAACAGACATAGACAGTTTGTGAGACTATAAAGCTGAAGCAAAGATGAACATGTCTCTCCTGCTGATCCAAGTCTTTCTCTCTGCCTTGGGTTGTCAGTCAATTTGAAACTTTCTCCACCGTCCAGTGTAATTTTTTCTAGCTCAACAGCCAAAAGCTCTACAATAACATGTGAGATTTGGGCTACACAATGCCATAGCATGCTGTTATAAAGGAGGTCATCGTGAACAACTCTGCAATATGGTATAGATTGTATTTTGCCACTTAAAGGAGAGTGCAGTCACTGAATAACACAATGGGAGGGAGAAGACAGGAGAGATACAAATAGGCTGTGCTCACAGTGTCTGCATGACCCAGGTCAGAGCCCACACACATAGTAATGAAACAATAATTTCTTTTTTTTTTTCTTCAGAGCACTTTGTCCATCCAGACCAAACCAGATTCCAGCATAGAGAGTCACAAGGTCAGCCCCATATGTACTGCAGATATGCACATCCTTAGAGACAGATGGGCTTGTAATGAACCCTTTGGCTGTGACCTGAGGGGTTTTTTTCCTTTCCATTGTTTCTATTAGTGTCACAGCACTCTGATATCTTGAGCTAACTATTCAGAAAACCAGGCTATTTCTTCTTTAGTGTCTCCCTGAAGAATCTCGTTGCATTTAGCCTCATTGCATTTGAAGCCAGTTCTTCATGCTTCTTCATATTAATCTTTTCTGTTTTTCACCAGTCCTGTACCTGGAAGGATCTGTCCTGGTATTTGAGGATGTCTTCAAACTGGTTGCCTTCTACTGTGTTAGTAGGTGAGTTGGATTTATTGCTTCCATGGCATGGTCACTTTGCTTTCCCCTCTGGATCATCCTTCCCCAGTATCCAGTCACAGCATAGATCCCACTGTTTCCTCTGGTATCCTCTAATCTGCCAGACCAGGAGTCAATATCCAATGCTAGTATCTACAATAGGGCCATATCACCCAGTTTCTAGCCAGGTAAACCATAATCGCAGCTATCCCTTTAGTTGGAAGCTTTGTCTGAAGAAGGTCTGTAGAGCTGCACGCACAAAGGACAGAGGCACAGAACTGGGCCAGGAGGGCAGGGAGGAAAAAAGGGCCTGGATTAACTATTTATTTAAAGCAGCTTTAAGCATACACACACCTGGTAGCGATTTAGCAAACCTACTAATGGATTGTTTTCTGTGCTTGTTTGCTCAGCACAGAAATACCAAACATAATGGACACAAAGATGGAAAGATCTGTAAAGTAATTTGCATTAGAACAAGGTTTGAAAGCAGCTGATGAGTCCCTCTGTGTGCCTGCAGCCTCCTCTATTCTGTGTCCTTGTGCCAAGCACACTGCAGCAACACCTCCACAACCTACTTACCCCATCTCTACTGCAGCAGGCCTGGTTTTGAGTTGGATGTAGATTTTTGACCTCCCCTGTATAAACTTAGATGACTCTTAAAGTAGTTATTTCCTTTAAGAGGAAAAAGCAGATTCAGGATATGTTTACAAGGCTGTCATGTTAGTCACTTGGTTAGGTCATGTAGTGGAACAGTCTATCTGCAGTGTGCTGCAGCTTGCCCAGACAGTGATATTCATGCTATTTTGGGGGCTGCTTCTGCAGCCAGCTGAGTTCAACACTGCTGGGCCACGACTCCTGCCTCCGTGCAAGAGATCATGCTCTGTCTCACCCTCATCAGTTAAAAGACATTTAGCCATCTAGATGTGTATAGACCCTATAGAACAGGCATAAATTAACCTCTGTACCCATACAAAGATTTCCAACATACCAAAGCAAAGAAGAGCCCAAATGCAAAACCAAATTTGGCATTTCTAGTCAAATAGCTGGTGAGAGAGAAAACACGGTCACTTCTGCTTTCCTGCAAAAACAATCATGGCTTAAGACAGTCTCAGAAAGAAAGAAAGAAAGCTCTTCTGTTAGTTCCTGTTACAGATGTTATTTCTGAATGTCAAATACACTCTCAGATGGTTCATGCAATTTTCAAGGTCGCTGTCAAAAGACAAGATAAAAAGGGAATAATTTTCTGAGAGATGCAGGTAATAAAAAGACACTGACATACCATTTGCTGGCAGCTTGTAGGAGCTCTCTGTGATGGTGAGTGGAGAGGCCTGTTCTCGGGGGTGTAGTAAATCGCCTATGAATAGCTGGAAATAGCTCACCAGGGCTGACTTTCTTTTTCTTCTCAAAAGAAAGTTTGGCCTGGAGAGATTACCTCAGATCATAACACCTGTAGGTAACAGGTGACTTGGTGGCTGGTCTGCAAGATGCTGTCCCATTAATAAAACCAGATTTTTTTTCTATTAGGTCAATGTCTTAATATTTCCTGATTTTTAGATGTATCTTTCTACAAAAAAAATAAAATAAAATTGAAGGGAACTATTTATACATATAAAAATAGCAAACAAAGAAAGCAGAAGGTCCATGGATCCTCTTCCTCTTTTAAACCTGGTATCTGTCAAGAAAAAAGTAACAAACCAGAGATCACATCAGTTTATGTCAAACAATGTGACAACAGAGTGCTCAGTGGTGCACAGGACACCAGTGCACATGGAGTACACAGTACATCAGTAAGGTCTGTATCTCTTAATAAGGGCAAAAATAGGCCCCCTGCATTCCTATATCAACAGATTGGGCCTCCCTGCATCTGCAGTCATGTGCATTTTTGAGCTGTGCATTTGTGTAGCAGACACCTCCTACTCACAAGGCCAGCTTTTTCTATGATGGTTTCTTGCATCTTGTAGAACATTTTGTTAAACTTTTTAATGTGTAAAATGATCCTGCACCATTCCTTGCTACCTTTTAGGGACTAGCTTTTCTAGTCCTTGTTAGAATGGGAATTGAGGTAAGAACAGGTTTAGCAAATTGTCACTGGGCAAGAGGCAAACCTGAAAGCTTCACTGCCAGTCCAAGAGCTTCGTCAAATTATTTGAGATTTAGGGTGTGTTTCAGTGAAACTCAACTAACATTCTCTGAGAAACTGTATCTTTTTTTCAGTAAAAAACCAGCATCTTTCCAGAAACCAAGCAGTCAGAAATCTCAGTGGTATACCTCAGAGTAGAGGGATATATGTATTTTTTTAGTGTCATACAGCACTTCATCACTGTTTGTCCCTTCACCTACGGGTTGCCTTTTCCCAGGAGGAGTTTTCCTTCCCTAATCCCTCTGTGTCTTGCTGTGTCCCAGTGCCTTAAACTTACACAGATTTTTTGGAGAGGAAGCAGAGTAGGGAGAGAGAGGTAAACAGAAAGAAAAAGGACTTCAAATCCTTTCCACACGAAAAGATTGGCTTTTCTAATTACAATAATTACCATTTGCAACACCTTTTTTTCATGGGAAGGTACTTCAACCTTTGTGACCTCCCCTGAGGTGAGAGGCATTCCTGCAGTTTTCAGAGGACAAAGCCAAGACAGTGATTAAGTCAGTGCCATGGCATGAAGCATCACCACAGAAGCTGGTGATCTCTTGTGAAATCAGAGCAACCCAGACCGGCAACAATGTCCATGATGCCTTACCATCCAGGACTTTGCAGAACAGGGCTGAAATTGTGAGTCAATCCAATCACTAAAACCAAGTGAAATCCTATCCATTATGGAGTTTATATTTTTGCTGGTTTTTATTGTGTTTCTTTTTACAGGGATTTGCTGCCCTTCACCCTGAAGCTGCCACAAGCAATATTAGAAGCCAGTAGCTTTCAAGACCTTGAAATTATCTCTAGTCTGGGGATAGGTAAGTCCCTCAAAGCAGCCAGAGTTTCACTCAGACTTGTGAGAACAGAGGTGCCTTGCGCAAATATAATGCAACAGGAAGAAAAATGAACTATTGTCTTTGGAATATCTGAGGAAGTCTGAATGCAAGAGGAAGATGTTTATGATCTTCAAGTTCATAGAAGTTCATAGCTCCAACCTCCACTTGGATCCCTGTGCAGGGAGTGGGACCTACAGTCTTACTGTGAAAGTTGGAGCTTCCAACAGCTAAAGCACGGCACAGCCCCTCAGGGTAGCTTACACACACTGGAAATAGCTGGCATCTGAGCTATATGGAAAACACCTTTGCAATTTCCCCTTCTGATGTGTGGGAGCAATACTGATGGAAGTGTGGTATTTTTGAATTTTGATATTTCTGCTTCCTCTTGCAAGACTTCTAGTTGGTAGAGAAATGTGCATCATCCCAGCATGTTCTCTCGCCTCACGCTAATCAGATACAAAAAGGAGCATTATTTTTAGTGACAGCACCAAACAAGCAAATTTTAGATAAGATCTATAAAGTTATAGAGATGGGAGAAGCAGTTTTGTTGACTAAAGGAGATCTCCTTCCTATTCCTTTCCATTTAGCACACTCCACTTCAGACAGCTATGACAGTTAGCCTCTCTTGTGCTCTTTGCTTTTCAGTTTTCCTTCAGGTGTTGAAAACAGCCAAAAAATGGAGAAAGTTGAAGAGTTAGCTCACTTAGAGGTACTCACTAGAGCACCCTGGGCCTTTAGGGATCTATTTTTGGATCTTCTGCATCATACCTCCCCAGAGGGCATGGGTGTACCCCAATAGTTTCAGTTCAGGCAGCTTCGTTGAATTTGACCACCAGATTTGCCTCTAACATTTTCAGCATCCTTTATTTTGAGTATGTTCCAATTTGTCAAAACATTCTTGAATATTATGGCTTAAAAAAAGCTACTTACAACTTGAGATTACAAATTGCAAACTTAATTTTATTATAACAAGTCTAAAAATCTGGATTAAAATGTAGGAAGTATATCATGTCTAATTTGAGCCAGCAGAGGATATCCTGATTCAGGAAACAATTTCCAGCAACTTCTGAAAGGAAGGATTAGTTAAAGCACAAGCACCAAAGCAATGTTGGTTGTAGTCTTCTTCCTTCTTTCCTGTACTGGTGGTCATGAAAGTGGTGATGCTTGGAGGTCGTTTTTGTCATGGTATATTGCATGCTGGGAAAGATTCTGACAACTGAAGAAAATCTGCGGTTGTGTACAGTCTTCTTGGGAAAGAATGTTAGCTTCCTGGAGTGTCATTCTGTCTTAGTAAAGTCAAACAGGCTCAGCTACTGAGTAATGCTGTTCACTGCCTCCTGGAACAAAATTTTGTGGGTACAAATGAGTACACAAATAACAAGTGCTGTCCAAAGTGGCACTCCTGAAGGAAAGATAGCGCTGTCTGAAATTCTCATATGTTGCTTTTTATTTATTTCAAAGTGATACGTGTTTCAAGGGGGTAAAGTAAAATGTCTTACTGCAAGCTGAATTGTTCCGCAGAGGATTTGGCTGTTCTGCATATTGTCAAAGAGGATGTACTCCAGGCCCTCTAGTCCTGACCTTGCTGGTGCAGAGGGCATTTTAGCAGAAGAGTTAGCACGATTGCACTGCACAAAAAGAGCACATATCATCACAGACACGCCAAAGACTCAAAGAACTGCTTAATTGTCCGTTCCGGGGTACAAGCTAAGGGAAGACCCAGGGCAGCAATGGAAAATGATCAAATGGCCTTCCTTGCTGTATGAAACAGTGTCTCTGTGCTGGGAAACACCTACTCTGAAGCAGCTGTGTAATTCTTGGTAGGACCACCTCATGTGGTCCTTCTTAGTCTGAGTGGAGCATTGCATTTTCATCAGTGTCTTATCATGGTCACTACTGAGAAAAATAACCAACTTCCCTTTTGTGGGTTGGTTTACTCACCATTTCCTCAGCCCATGAGACTTCACAGCATTATATTCTGACTGAAACAAGCAACTTCCACTGTCTGTCATTTGCTGATACCCAGTAGAGTCAAAGCTTTTAAGGAAAAGGCTACCCCAGACAGTCTCAGATGTGAGGGGTTGGCAGAGTGATGCCAGTATGTGCAGTTGCATCTGTACGTCTACTTCTGAATTCTGTTGTCAAGAGTGCTGTTGTTCCTGGCAACACTTTTATTTTAAGCTTCTTTCTTCTTCTCCCTCTCATGATAGGAAATTTGAGAATAAAGCTGTTCTAGTGTCAGCCACCCTGAGAAAACACACTGACGTGCTTATAAAGCTGAATTGGCCATGGACACTGGCCTAGGCTGCAAGAGGATAAATCTGCAGTTTTATCCTGATGGGAATGGACTCTCTTTTAGTTCACCTCTTGACGTGAGAGCTGTACCCTGTACTCAGCACTGAGGGTCACTCCACATGTGTGCAGCCCCACCCATCCCCTCTTGGGCCCAGTATGTGATATTTTGGCAGTGAGACAAGCCTAACACCAAGCACAAGGCAGGGTTCAAGCATTATGTGGCAGCCCCTGTTGTGTCCCCCGAAATCCACCCAGAAGTGTATGCTGTCAGTGTCAGCTCTGTGTCTAGGGACCAAGCATGCTGAAATAGTTATTTAGTTATCTGCATCCTCATGTTTCCAGGATTTCCCATCTTCCCCTTGTCCCTAAATCTGTGGGCATCTACACAGTCCTCAGCCAATGCATATACTCAGAGGTTTATACCCTTTACCTTGGTAAGAACACATGGGGTTTGCTGGATACTGTTTCCTGATGTATCCAGTAGTGGACCCTGGATTAGCAGCTTTAAGAGTGCTTGAAAGCAATCAGACTTGTAAGGCATACAGGTTTGAAACCTCATCTCTGAAGGAAGGGAAAAAGATGAAAAGTGACACTGAATACTATTCAAAGGATGTACAAATCCTTTGTAATTTTTTAAAAACAGTTATTCAAAGGCAAATTCTAGTAAGAGATTTCTGACATACAGAAATGACTACTTGTGTCTGAAACACCATCTTTCTTTTCTAGTAACAGTTGATGGCACTGAAGTTCTTGACTATTCCTTAGTCCTTCATCATACCTCCTTCCTGTGTACAGTTTTGGCATCATCTTTTCTCTCTGCAGGCAGGTGCAAAACAGAGTGGGCATGGCTATAATTGTCATCCAGAGCTACAGATTTTAATGAAAATTTTAATCTGGGGAAGGTGTTTAAAATCATGTGTTTTTGGACTGGTTGTACTACAAAGAAGAATCAGACCTCTGTGTAGAACAGACTCTCCCACATAAGCTTGCTGCATAGTATAGTCATCTTCATCTCTTGTGCTCCTGATGCATGTCAGATCCAGGCTGTATATCTCAGACCTGCACCTTCCCATGGCGAGCAAGAGGGAGACAGAACTCATCTGGGGTCTTCACATGCTCACCTCAGGTATCCACAACTATTTGAAGGGCAATGATCACTGAACAAGCCATAGATCCCTTTTCGCAATATTTTGTGTTTGTTACTTGTACCTTCCTGCTCACACTGAAAATGCTGAACAGCATTAATAGTTTTCACTAGGTAAGTGTCTTAAACCTGACAAGAAAGAGGATTCTGGTGAAGCTTCTGAGCTTATCCTCTGGTTTTAAGCATCTTGCGCACATAAAACAGGCAACCCTTTCTTCACATTGTTTTGTGCAGAGGTCTGAAAGCTTGTGTACCATTTATTTTAACTAAAAATAGGTCTTCTACGTATCATTAGCAGCTAAAATTCTCTCAGAACATTTTTTCATTCTTCTTTCAGTTGTCTTTTTTTTTTTTTGCCAGATTTTTGGGATTCCTACTTAAACCACAGAAGAAGAGAAGAATTATCCCATCCTGCAAAAGACCCAGACAGTTCAAGATCTACCCAGCGTTTTGCAAGTAGCACAAACCATTGCTCATGTGAAATTGAGCTGTCAATAGGAAATGACAGGCTGTGGTTCGTGAATCCTATTTTTATAGAAGAGTGCAGTAATCCTTTTCCTCCAGATGTACCTCCTCCTAAAAGCCACACTGTGACCGTCGATCTCCCCCCTGCCACCATGATCACTGAAAGGAGGTCTCCCCGCCGGCCCCCTCCACCTCCACCTTCTCACGCTCCGGTTCAGAAATTTTCTCTGAAGCTCCCACAGGATCCTATGACTGCTTGTGAAGAAAACAAGCTGTTTCTTAAGCCACTAGGAAAGAGCATAGAGGAAATGAAAGCTGAGGGCGGTGACAGTAAAAAAGAAGAAAGGAAGCAGAGCTGCTCTGTCAGTGAGCTCTCAGCAGTGAGCCCTGAGAAGGGCTCCCAGCCCTCTGTCCCCCCACGGAGGCGGCTGTATGAGCGGACCTCGGAGGAGAGCTGTGCGGGTAAGCCTGAAAGTTGTGAAACGAGGAAAGGGGAAGGGACAGAAGAAAAACAAGATACAAGTACAGAGAGCAGAGATAAAAGGTTACTGTGCAAAAAGGGTATAGAAATGCCCGGGGAGGTTTCCAAAAGGGCTGTATCACGGTTTCAGGAGATGAAGCCAGAACCTGCAGAGAAGAAGGAGGACGTGCCTGAGATAAAAATCAATGCCATTGAGAAAGGAAAGCCACCTCCTATTCCACCACCAAGAAGGAAGAGGCTTTCCCAGGTACCAAGGATCCAAAACTCCAGCCAGTCGAAGCTAAGAACAGTGGCAGAGACGGCCACAGCCACAGCTCAAGCTGTGTGCAAGAACAGCCCAGCTACAGTGGCAGGTGGTGCTACTTGCGCACACACCAAGACTGAACCAGAACATGGCCACAAGCCTGTCAGCTCAGCTGAACTGAAAGGTTTGCACTTGTCCCTGGAGGACGTGGGAGGCAGCACAACAGCTCAAGCGTCAGCATCTGAACCAGACTCCTACTCTACCAGCAGCACAGAGGATGACATGGAGATGCTGAGTAGTTCATCCGGTAAAAAGACACACTCCATAATCTTGGCCAAGGCCAAGAACAGGCTGTCCTTTGTAAACCTGTCCAACGTCTTCACAGTCTTTTTGTCTAGTGACAGGAAGCTGCAGAAGAAGATAGTGGAACTGGCACAGGACAAGGATTCATACTTTGGCAACCTGGTGCGGGACTACAGAGTGTACAGTTTAGAGATGATGGCAAAACAGAGCTCCAGTACAGAGATGCTACAAGAAATCCGGTTGATGATGACACAGCTGAAAAGTTACTTAGTGCAGAGCACTGAGTTGAAATCTCTGATAGACCCAGCCTCCTACACTGAGGAACAGTTAGGTAGGTGACTGTGGTTTATTTATCCTTGGGCATGATTTGGGAAGGTGAGGATGAAGACAGGATTATGCAGATACAGTTTCTGCTTTACAGAATTGTAAACCATCTCTTAAAAGCTGAGGGGTATGAATTGAAGTCTACTCTGTTGTTGTCAGCACTTGGAGGAGCAGCTCTAAAACCTGGAGACCAACAAGGGGGAAAAACTCATTATGAATGTTTTAAAGGGAAAAGTTTAAGCAGAAGAGATGTATGTCCATGTTTGTGAGAGAGACATACATTTATGTATATATGCATACTCACTCATACAAATATGAGTCTGTATAGGTGAGCACTCACAGAGTTCACTGGAAACACAAAAGGTCAACTTCCCCCCCCACAGCTGCATTCCCCATGGCCTTTCACATCCACTGCTCTGCTGTAAGGATGGAGAACTCCTTGCGTGTGCAAGACAGATTAGGGGTCAGTCTCCTGTGGAGAGCAGAGATTCCCACTATGGAAAATTTGCCACTTGAATTTGTCCTGCTTCAGGCTGGTTGATTCTCTGGATTCTTTAAAATCATTGGATTTTGCATAGATAAATTTTACTGCCCTCTGCTTCATTCCTTACTACCTGAGCAGATGAACTCTTTTGCCAATGACCTTTTTGCCTCAGTGCAGGGGGAACAAGATCTCTTGCAGTCCCTTTAGCTCTGCCTCTGGTTTCTAGGAGTCAGACAAGACTTTCTCACAGTTTCTCATGCTTCCTTTTGTCTTTTGTCTCCTGCTAAATAATAATCAAAAACTCAACCCATAAATACTATTTCCTCATCCATAGGTCACGTAAGAGCTGTCTTAAGTATGAGTAATTTAAAGTCACTGACCAGTAAAGAAAATTCTGACCAGGTGTTGGTGTCTCTCTCTGAGCTGGTGGCTACAGCCGCTTCTCAGTCACTGAGGACAAAGGGGTGCTTTGAAGATACAATTAATTTCATCCCAAAGTGAATATCTCAAACAGGTAGAGGGAGAGGGAAATCAGATGAATCCCACCTGTAAGAGCAGGGCTTGGAAAAGAAGCAGAGTTAAGTGAGTTTCCTCATCTCTCCCCAGAACTGGCTGTCCTGCTGCCTGAGAGTGTCATGCTGGTCAGCCAGGGGTCAGGCAGAGAGAGCAGGGACTGCTGGTAGCAGGCAGTCTTCTACAGCTCCAGTGGCAGAGATCACACACTGATGTTCATCTCGAGCCCATCTAGGACTTCTGGAGGGTGTTGGTAATGAAATGTTTGCTTTCTGGGATATAATTTCTGTTCCCTGCTCACAACTATGCAGTAGTAGTCAAATAACCAACCATAAGCTGCCTTAGGACATTTACTTGCACCTGTACTACTGTGTCGATTATTTGTTATGTGCATTTGTGTTCTCCCTTCTCTATGCAGAAGTGATTGCTGAGACAGCTTTATACAAATGTGTCCTGAAACCTTTGAAGGAAGCAATTAATTCTTCGTTAAAAGAAATACACACTAAAGATGGATCCTTACAGCAGCTGAAAGAGAATCAACTTGTGATACAAAACACAACTACCACTGACCTAGGCATCATGACCAGTGTGCCTGAAACAGTTGTGATGGAAAAGATCCTTCACAAATTCACAACCATGCACAAGACCTACTCCCCAGAAAAGAAAATTGCCATCTTGCTGAAGACCTGCAAGCTCATCTATGACTCCATGGCTCAGGGAAACCCAGGTACAGCACTTCTACTGAAATGGTATCCCTCACGGGTCCTTCTCCATGTATCAAAGGAACAGGGTTTATGATACAGCTCGTGTGGTAATATTCACATTGGAGGTAGCAGTGGTGGTTGATGTGTTTGGTATCAGCTGCCCACAGGTTGTGTTCAGAATGGGATGGCAAGTGACTGTGAAGTTCTCTGCACTAATGACAGGTATAAGATATTACCTGGTTAAACTCCATAACTCCAAAACCCAGATATTTTTAAGTGTGTGTGTTATGTGTCATGTCCTTTTTGCACAGGTCTTCACACAGCCTTCCATATATCCTCAGGGCTCTGTCCTGATATATTACTCTGTAGCAGAGTAATGGTAAATTCTAGGAATGGGTCTTTGGGAATAGTCTCTTGGTTTGGCCTTTACAAAGTTTTGCCTAATTTGAGGAGGAGATGCAGAATGCTAGTACTGTTTATTACTAATTCCTGATGCTCCAGTGAATTCCAAAAGCCACTGCTTCTTCAGTGTGAGGAAGTATGTGCTCTGAGTATAAACATAACTTGAGCCTCAGGCCAATCACTACTGCACACATTAAACCACTGACCTGCAGACAGGATGCATCTTTGCAGATAGACCAGAAGTCTCTTCCTCCAGCAATCTGCCTTGCCAGTTTAAGAGCCTTTTTGTATACTGGTGAGCTGATGACCAGCCACACATAAATTTGGAGAGAAGCCAGGTATTAATTTGCAATAACCTGTAGTTTTTCAAGAACTCACAATCTCCAAAGGTGCTTTTAGCTGTTCTGCTTTATTTTGTACTGGCAACACTTGGAGCACTCATACATACATGTGTCCCTGCTAAGCCTCACCTCAAGGTCATCCCTTCGATGGTAAGCAGCGAGGTTCAATGAACAGTCTAGACACATTAACAGCAGAGTGAGAAGCCACTCCAGGGCTGAGCCTTAGCTGCAGGGTGGACAGGACCTCTCACTGTCCTTAAGTATTATGAGAAGATTTGGACATGTGCAGGGAAATTTGCTGTAAATTTGTTAAAACAGTTGTATTAAGTCTGAGGATAAATTTAGAATAGATCAAGGACTTGCAAGCCTCATTAAAACCCACGTAGGAGACATGGTCTCCTTCTGATGCTGGTGGTATATTATGTGTATGTCACACCTTAGCTCAGGGTTCAAATTTCTCTATTGAAAGAAATCTTGTTGTGTTATTTTATGTAACAAAAATTAGGGTCAGGGAAATAATTAAAAAACCCCTACACTAAAAGATTAACATTTATGAAACAGATGATTTCATTGTGGTTTGCTATGCCAACCGAAATGCTTAATTTTGGCCAGCTCAGCTGTTTTCTCATGTTGAGTACTACTGCTAGTGGGGTGCAGGTCAGAAGCTGATTTCAACTCTAGGCATCCAGTTTCCTCTCCCTTATATATGATCAGTGATGCATATCAAGGCCTGGTCAGAAGAAAACTGGCCTGGAACTATGGAAACGTACCCCAATGAATTCAGGCCAGAAAAAAAGAGGTTAAGGGGAGGAGAATGCTATAGTCCAACTCCTGGAAAACAGTAGACTTGGAGAGACTTGGAAACGCCCTCTAGACCCACTTAGGAGTCAAATGTGTGAAACTTCTTCCACAAAGTGAATTGAACCCAGATCACTTTCATTTTCCACCTGGCAAAAACAAGTATCCAGAAATCTGAAACATTTCTCTGACAGGGATTTCCTGCCCATGGCATGCCAAAGAGCATCTGTGGGCTGCTCAGACCAGATTTCAGTGGGTAGGAATTCTCCTCCTGCTCTCTGCCCATCTCAAGAGCAACAGCAAAGGCCCTCTTTTGCTTTCAGCCAGCCATGAGGCAGCATAGTGCTCTTCATACAGGAAGAGCAGGGGCCATACTCAGCTTCCTGTGCAACAACCTCTTCTTTTAGCTCCTTTTCCTCACTGCTGAATTAGAAAGTTCCTTCCTCTTCCAAGATCAGAGTAAGTGGAACACAAAACTAATCATTCCCTCTGCTGCAGGACCAAAATCAGTCTACCTTTGTCAGAAAAATTATCTGTTTGATAATATGGTAACTACTTATGTTTTCTATTTTAGTTTGTAATTTGTCTGCTCTTTATTCACTTTACGATGACCATAGGATGAGCTGACCTAAGAATATGGTTTCATATCTCAAATCAAAGTGCAAATACCACCAAATCAAGCACCTTTTTTTTCTCAGATCCATATGAAAACACAAATTTTTGAACATTTTGAGGCACATGTACAGCAGTCCTGGTTTGGCCAGGATGTCCCAAGAGGTACCAAGTTTTCTTTAAAACTAAAGATAGGCTTATTCAGGAACATCTGTGCCTGTGGTAGTGCCCATCTTTGCACTGCTGAAAGAGTCGTGAAACTTTGAAGCCTGCCTTGTCTGACTCCATGTATTTCAAGATATTTTAAGAAAGGAGGAGATCTTTGCTTTGATTGCAATTCATACTATATGACAAAATCTGGCTGATAAATTGGCTGTGGTTGAGCTCTCTGATACTTAAGACTAAGAACTGAATGGGTCAGATCCTCAGCTGCTTTAAACTACCATCTCTTCCTCAAGTTGAAGGCAATCAACTTGTGGATCTGATTCGTCACAAGGAATTAGAAGGGCAAGATCAGTCTTTGTCAATACACCTTTCTCCCAACAGACCACTGAGTACAACTACAAAATACAGTAGGTGGCCGCAGATGGGTATCGTGCCCAGCTTCTCACTATGTACTTTGGGGAATCAGTCGATGGAGTTCAGGTGATTCATCTGGCTAGATGTAAGTTTCTGCTTTAGGGTGAGATGACTCTAGGCAAACTCCAAGGACAGTATTGATTACTTTGTTACTAGCTATAAAAGGAATGTAGGGGAACTGGTTCAGATGCTCGTATGTACTGTGTAGGCAGTGATATTAGTAAGTGAATCCTTCCCAAAGGGACAATTATTATAGTATTAAGGTGTCTCACTGAACTTCTCCAGCTTATATGCAAACTTAAATAACAGCAACATATGCCTCCAAGAATGTAACCCACAATCTAAAAACATGTAACCTGACTGCTAAAAATACTAGGAATTGTTAGCAAGAAGAAAATGCATTTAACAAACAGGAAAAAAAAAGAGTTTGGAAACCCAACCCCCCAAAATGGCTGGCATTTTTTTGGCATTATTTTATCTGTGCACTAGAAAAAAGTAAGAGGCAGGAATCATGCTGCTCCTACATTTGGAAGGTGTGCTACAATACCCACAGGGACAGGTGGGCACATAGCTCATTTATGTAGAAAAAACACACTTATTATGTATCTTTCAGAAATACCTTTACTCAGACAAAATATTAAAGGTGTTTTGTGGGGTAGAAAGAGAATCTCTGCTTTTCATCAAAAACACAAATGTCACTTGTAGAGTGAGAAACAAGATGCAAATTTTCAGTATGTGTGGTGTATACTGGCAGTGGTGTGCCTGGAGCACCAGGCCTTGTGCTTCCTGGGAACTGCCACTGTGTGGAAGAGAATTGATGGAAAAACAAAAATAGAGCAGCAAATAGGCATTAGTTTGTGAAAAAAAACTGTGAGAAAAACAGGCCAAATTTGGTCAGTCCATCAACGAGGAAGATCAGACATGGGAAAACTCTAAGTTTAAGTTGGAAGTTTGAAAGATGGGCAGACTGCTTTCTAAGGTAATTCAAGACGAATGAATAGAGGTACAATTTTCTTACTGCAATATTTTTAACTTGTGAACCACCTAAGATTATGAAGCTTCATCTTTGAACTGCATAGGGAGCTGGAATTATATAGTTCAAAACCAGTTCTGTGCTAGTGATGGAATTGGCCAGGTGACTGGCCCTAAAACATCTGCTTGAATAATTTCTGTTGCATAGTTTTGCATGGCCAATATGTAGTCTACTTTTGGGAGAAGTGGACAGATAGGACATATATTACATTGGAATATTTCTCTTCCTTAGCTTTTAGAAGGAAATTTGTCACCTTTGAGCAGACAGATATTGGCTGCTCTTATGCACTCCCATATGGCTCCGCAGTTGATAAAGCCATGTATGTCTTCAATGGGATAGCTGAGCTTGTGAAAAGGAAACTGGACTCAAATACTTCAGCAGCCAGTGCAGAACCCATGCTAGAAGCTCCTAAAACTAAGTCAGAGCAATCCCACCACATGGCTTATTATCACATCACATTTCTGAGAAGGAATATAAAGCTATGCATAACAGTTTTACTTTGATATCTTTGAGAAGAGGATGCTTGATTTAAGTTACTATTAATGAAGACTGATGGACTATAGATTTTGGGTTTTTTGCTAGCTAGCACAATTTCTACATTTGAATCAAAGAGCCAGTTCAAATTTTTCATGGGGAACAAATTCCTCTGATCTCTAAACCATATATTTTTGAAGTGGATTCATGCTGTCTGCATCTATTAACTCGCTTAATTCAACTATATCATAAATCAAACCTTGTAAAGTAGTATGAGATAGACAAGAGACAGTAAAATGCTAGGAAGGATAGTGGAAGGACAGTTACAATTTTTCTTATGATCTTGTACAAATCTCTCTTAATCTTTCTGTACCTCAGGTTTCCCAGCTATAAACTGAGCCTAAAATCCATATTTGCTGGAGATCTGCTGCTAGACATCATGCCAGTGTTCATAAAATATTAGAGCAAGGTGCAGGCGTCATCACAGTCTGCTGGTTTTCAGAATATACGCAGAGGGAAAAGAAATGCATGAATGTGTTAAAATAGTTTGTAATTTCTTTATGGAGGCTTGGGCAGAATTCCAATTGGTTTCAATCATGTATTTAATTAATACCCATCTATTCAAGTGCTGCATCCCAGCCAGGATCTGACGTTGTATTTGCTTTGCTATAAACATAATAGGATGAGCTTGTGGCAGAAGAGAAGGCTTATTTTAAGCTTCTTAGAGATATTTATGAAATAAATATTTCCTGACCCTGTAGGGAAGAAGGGAAAATAAAGCAAGCAAGTCATATCTGGAGTAGGACACCACCACCTTGAATAAGTAAGTTCAGTCCCACTGTCACTGAGAGCAGTGGAAGGGTCAGAGCTAGATTAACTCTGTCATCTGCAAAAATACCCCTCTGTGAGAGACCACAAATGGAGCAAGCCACACAGGTCTAGGAATTTGGCTTTGGCCCAGACTGAAAGTAGAGCTGAGGAGGCATCAGCCTGCAGAGAACATCCCCACTTGCAGCTCCCAGATGGACCCTGGTTAGTGCCCTGGTGCTTCTCATCAGACAGGAAGCATGTGGGTTACACATTGCTGAGCAGCACCAACCATCCGAGTACCTTGGTTCACAGGCACTGTTACATATATCTTTGTGGCCTCTTGCCTCTGGACATATTTGAGTTGCTGACAACACCTATCAACTCCACAGATAGACCGAGATACAGAGCATCTCAGGGCCGTACTTGGTCTGATGGCTGTACATGTCAAAACTAGTTCCTGTGCCTGCCGTGACATTCAGGGCCAGAAGAAGAAAGGGAGATTGAGAATCCTACCCTCTCAGGCACCTGTCCTTGGTTCCACATGCAGTCAGTGGAGATAAGTTGTTACAATGCCTACAAGGAGTAGGTGCAATATACTGTGTCTGACCTGTTCTTGGCAACACTGAAAGTTTGCGGTAACACGTGGAGTCAGAGCTAGATCCTTGATGACTAATTTTGATTTCTCTTGTTGACACATTCTGCTCCTGCTGACTTCAGCTTTAGCTACAGATGTGGATATTTAAGAATCAGGCATCATATACCCACAAGTGGATTAAGGTGATGTCTAGTAATTTGTGCAGGTTGTGAGCATACAGCATATTGAGAATGTGTTCTCTTTCCATTATTGCAGTCAGACATCCCTACTCTGTGTTCATTATTCAAAAAGAAACAGTATATCAGATTTTCATATTGAAGCCATATAAACAGCTGGAAGTCCAATAATATTCCTATGAAATCTTAAAGTTGAGAAAAGTTTATAACAGGGACTGGTGGGCAAAGCATCTAAATTAGCTTGTAGAAATGAGATAGAAAGCAATGAAAAATATTTGATTCCATGCCTTTTTATACATACAACCACTTCTCAGCCAACAAAAAAGAAACAGAGATTCTGTAGGAGTTCTTGAAAATTGTCCTCTAACTTTCAGTTCAGCTGACACTAAAAGTTGACAAATGGGGACATGGAATTGTTTAGTTTCAAATGGTTGTTTCCACTTTCGTTAGTTGGTCAGTCCATTGTCTGGTTTGTGATCTCCTTTAGTGATATTTTTAAAAACCACAATAAACAAACAGAAAAAACCCAAACCAAAACCCCAAGGATTTTTTGCTTTGTTTTGGTTTGTTTTGATTTTTTTCCCAGTGGATAGGAATTTATATTGTGAAGTAGCAACTTTCTTGGATGCCCTAGTAGACACAATATGAATTGGTCATAAAAGAGAAGTAGTAGGGAAAATTCTGCTATCGGTATTGCACTGGAAATCCCTTGGCATTTAGGAAATTAGAATCATTCTACCCGTGCCACTGGTCTGTAACTACTACTTCATAAAGAAAAAGTTTTTAGAGAAGGGAAAAATAGCCTACCAAATCTTTGGTATTTCATCTTCCTTTATACTAGTTTTATATCGAACTGATTCTCTTGCCCCTTGATTTATTTGGATCAATAGTAGAATAGGGATTTTCTCTGTGTGGTTTTTCTATTACATTTTCATGTCTCCATTGTGTTATCTTTTTTTTTCTCTGGAAAATATTAAATAGCTGTAATACTAAGCTGCTTGTATTAAGGTAATGTATATGACAGTAATGAATTGGACCCTTCACAGAGCTAAAGCTTTCACAGAGGCATAAGCCAAGGCAACAACAGACAAATAAAATGTCCATCCAGATGTTAATGGAACAATAAAGTTCATTTATAGTTTGATTGAAGACTAAAGGCTGTTTCTTTTGACTAAAGGCAGCCATAATAAAGCAATCAGAATTGAAAGTGTTAATCCAGCTTTCATTCAATAAATTGCCTATGTTGTGGCATGTGTGGGCTCTGTCAGAAACAGCTGAATTACAGCTCTGACAATCTCTCATTCTCTAACACTTTGTTTTAACTGGATCAACTCTCTGTCCACTAGATATATTACTAGGTTTATTTCAAAGCCACTTTTTTTTTTTAATCAGGGGCTAAGCTCATGTTTATTTGAGGCTTCAGAAGAATATTTTTCTTTGCCAGTGGAGAATTTGCGTCAGCTATGAATGACAAAAAAAGAAACCTGACTCATGGCAAAGATTTGAAATAAGTCAGTGGGAACATTTGAGAAACAGGAATTTATGCCCTACCATGGAAGAGAATGTGTACTATGGGACAAAAATGGTTAGAGCATTAATTTCACCAGAGCTATATCAAGGGTAGCTTTGACTTTGAGGTGAGGCAAGCAGTTCTCAAGTGAGACACACGTGGCCCATGAAACCAACACATCCAAATGCACAGATAAGAAAATCTACCCACAGTCGGAAGAAAGACATTCAGAATGAAAGCTTTGGGATTAAATTGAGAGGAATGGTCAAGTCTGAGTGTTCGGAAGATAGGCCTGTTAAGAAGCTTGCTATTATGGGTTTTCCATGATGAATTTACAACACGTTGGTGGAAAGTGAAAGCGTCTTTCAAAGGAGAAAAGTTATCCCTGTGTTCTTTGTGATTTATGCAGCGAAGCTTCAGTTTGGATTCTATTTTAACCAATAATTATTTATAATGATGACTGTTAACGTGCATGGTTTTTCATCCTCGGAGATCCATCCCAAAGAGCTCTTACAGATTACACATTAGATCACTTTGTTGACTTTGCAGATACGTTTTAAGCATCAGAAATCTTGAGTACCTGCTGCACACCAATTTCAAAAGCTAGTCTAAGTCCAATGTGAAAGGCTTTTTGTTTTCTTAGCTAGATGCCATGGCTAGAAAGATGATTCCTCTTGGGAGACTGTTTTAATTAGGAACACGTAGTGTGATGTTTTACCTTCTGAAGGAACACAAACACAGAAGTCTTCAGTCCTAAAAGCCACTGTCTCAAATTCTATTTTCTGGGTTTGGGTCCCACACATAGTGTAAACCTAAGAGAATAAATACTCCTAATGCTTATAGACAACTTCCCTGCTAATATTGCCAACCTGAATTGCAGTCTTGATGTCAGTGTCAAATCAGAGTGACAAGATAGAAGCCTTTGCACTCTTCAAAAATTGCCGCATCTGTGACCAATGAAGTTGAAGTCTTTCTTTCTCCAGTTAATACAGAATGGCAGAAATGGAGCTCACTAAAATTTTCAAGCTCATATTTTGGGCTTGAAGTGATCTAACTTTCTCTTTTTCAGCATTTTTCTTTGCTGATGGTTTCGAGCTTTAACTCTTCAGGTAATAAAAGCCAAAGTCTGCAAAGGAGATGCTGGGTGAGAAGTTGTCACTGTTATGTTGGAATATGTTTTTGTGGTGAGTTTTTAGGACCACTCTGTGTTTCTCTTTGTTCAGGGAAGCCATATGGTGCAGATGACTTCCTCCCTGTGCTCATGTATGTGTTGGCCCGCAGCAACTTGACTGAAGTCCTTCTGAATGTGGAGTATATGATGGAACTCATGGACCCTGCACTGCAGCTAGGGGAAGGTAAGGGTACAGTGTTTTATCATGGGATATTCACCTCGGGAATCATTATTTACCTCACTTCAGTGTTTGTGAAAGTGGGGTAGAAAGGCTCTGGCTAGACTTTGTGGATAAGCTTTGCCAAAGCTGCAGTTCTAAAATTATTGTCAAACACTTCAATTCCTTTTAGCAGTGCAGTGCCTTTAGACACCAGCTAGAAAGGCAGGGACCCAGCATAAATGAGAACTGAGTTACTAGATTAGTAACCTAAACAGAGACATCTTGTGTTCCTTGGTCCAAAGGCTGAAAAGCTAGAAGGTTTTTGCCTAAAATGAAGCAGCTGCTGCAAAACATTTTTTGGACACTTTTATTTATTCCAATTTAAAAAGGCACATTTTTTAAACTGTACTGCATTCCCGAGGCCAGACATCATTCTCATGGTCACTCTACTCTTAAATTTGTGTGAACCCGCTGATAAAGTTCTCTGACTGAGTATCATAGCAAGGCAGAGGAAGAAAAGTGGGGTTAGAGTAGAATATCAAGTTTGGATATGAATAAAGACTTCTGTTGTTAGAGACATAAATACCCCAGGGAACTGTGGGCCTTTAGTTTCTTAAATATAGCTTGGGAAGCAAATGCTTTCCAAGTGACAGTTATGCACTCTGAATTAGGAACACTGATCATTTATCACCAAGTAGTCACTAAACCAATAAAATGGGTTTTATTTTAGACTTTGGTTTGGTAAGTACTGAGATTCCAGAAAGGAGTCCTGGATGGACAGCAGTGGACTAATTTTATTTATATTAAATAGAGGTGTAAGTCTGAAACTAAGACCATGTCATGGCAACACAGTGCAGAGGGGAACAAAAGTAAGTGCTTATAGAATGAGTAGTAGCAATACAACGTATTAGTAAGGTGTTTCTACATAGGCTAATTTTTCTGCTGAAAATAATTGTTAGCAGAAAAAATGCTAGCCAAAGAACAGCATTTTGCTGACATAACCAAGCAGTTCTTGGTAACTACACCGCCCACAGGTTCTTCATTTCAAATGGGCACACTATCAGGCTGGTTACTGAAGTCAGCTGGGTTGGGGAGCTCAGGGTATCAAAGGCAAAGCTGGCTGGAAGTTCTCTTAATTCAAAGATGCAAAGGCTGTGTGAAATGTGCACTCTAGTCAAAGGGGGAAAATTTTGTGATAGAGTTCCAGATCAAACTGGCTGAATAATCACATCAGAAAGAGGACTGAGAGTAACTGCAGATACAGGGAATAGGAAAAAAAAAACATCTCAGTGAAGACAGCTCTGAGATTGCAAAGTATAGGTCTGGCAAAAGTTTACTTAATTAGGCCTTTCAAAGTTGAATGGCAAAAGGTGATTCAGGTACAAAAATTAAAGGAAAAAAAGTAAAGGAGAAGTGAGAAAACTGTGAAATTGCATAGGTCAGTACACTAAATCACTTAAATTTGGCCTCCAAAAGAAAAATACACAGAACTAATTTTATAATAACAGTAATATTGACTGCTGGGGCAAAGACAAAGGCAGATGATGGGTTACGACTGAGCAGAAATAAAAATACTTAGAAGTGGGAGATAATTCATAAAAAAGTTGTAATGAAATCCTGTTGGGTGGGACTGTGAAATCTTCCTCCCTGGATTTTTAGGGAAGGGATACACCAGGTTGTGGGTTGTGGGTCTCACCATCCCATCATGTGGGCCTCTTGACTCAGCCAGAACAGGAGAAATACTGAACGACAGACAAGGGAGGGTAGTAACTGTATTTAAGAGGGAGAAAAGTGGCACTTTCAGGGTTCTTAGTCTGTTCTCAGCAGCTCTTTGTGGGAGACAGTGAAGGAAAATGAGTGTGTTTTGGGTGAGTGCAGACCTGCATAGCTGTGGGACATTCCTCAGCGATCCACCGGGGTATGAAAAGTCACATGGCAGTGTCTTGGTCTCTCCTCTCCTACACCAAACTTTAGTGGTGTTCTAAAAATACTGCTCTTAAATAAAGTGCTGTCTTAGCCACCCTTGAGCAGCCAGCCGCACTGACGGTGGAGCTCACCGACGCTGCGGAACCGCGGGCTGCTGCGCGGTTTGGGTGATGTGCAAGTGCCATCTAGAGGCAACTGCAATTAGCGCGAAACTTATGAAAAACAGGGTTGCTTGCCCGGCTGACTGACCGTTGTTAGTTCTTCCCGTTTTCCTGGCACCGGGATGCTGGTACGGTATCAGGGAATGGCCTCGCAGCCCCCGGGACACTGCGCTGCTGCCCCACAGCTCTGCGGGCCCATCCTGCCCTCCCTCCGCTTGTCGGTGGAGCTGAGCCCGGGCAGTAGCTGGGAAAGAGCACTTCGGCCAACCCGGTGCCCCAGCGAGGGGTGCCCTGCAACCAAAGCAGCGGCTTCCTCATGTTCACCTCTACCCTTATCAGGGCCCTGATATGGATGAAGCCTCTGTTGATGAAGCCAGTTCTTATGGTCCAGCTGCTTCTCCGTGGCTGCAGTTGGTTGGTTGTTACCTGCTGCAACCAACAGCACAGCAGTCAGGGGATTTCTGAGGGAAAAGGGCTTTTTCCACTTTATCCTGTTTCTCTCTCCTACCAAGATTTATCTTGCAACTCTGAACAGTCCAAGAATTACAGGCAAACACCTGGGATCCCTGTGTGGTCAAGAGAGCAGCGGGTGGCTTGTTCCTGCAGGTCTGACACATCCCACAATGGTGCTGAGCCCACAGGAGACGTGGGGTCCAAACATTCCAGCAGTGTTGCTGGAGTTGGAGGGGCTGAATCCAGGCCTTGTTCTTCTCCTGCAAGTGCTTTATAATTGTTTCTATTTCCTTATAATATGTGGACTGCTCAGGAGCCCAAGTTACAAACCTGTAGCATGGCCCCTGTCAAACACAATAAAAAGATGGCCATGTCCCAGAGAATAAACCATCTGTGGCTTGTGCCTGCTTGCAAAAGCAGCTTTTGTAGCTGTTTCTCTTCAGCCTGTATTCCCTCCTGGAACATCTACAGCCTCAACAGTCAAGGCAGCGACACTGATGTGGAGCAGGAGGGAATAGAGGACACTGGTTGTTAGGTGTCCTTCTGCTGTGTTAACATCAGTAACCCCTGCACTCCTCGCAGCGAGGCATGGGACCCCTATCCAAGGGTCAGACAGCTGCCACTGCACAGGCACCAGCAGGATGGGTGAGTGTGGAAATGAATGGCCCATGCTGGTGTGATGTTCATACTTTTGCCTTTTGCAGGTTCCTATTATTTAACCACCACCTATGGGGTCCTGGAGCACATCAAGAACTACGACAAAATCACCGTCACGCGGCAGCTGAGCGTGGAGGTTCAGGACTCCATTCACCGCTGGGAGCGACGGAGGACGCTGAACAAGGCCCGAGCTTCCCGCTCATCAGTGCAGGTAGCTGGCATTATACTATAGGAAAAATGCCTGGAAGATGAACATGCTTACTCCATGCTTACAATTTTTTAATATGGTAATTATTTTAAAACAAGATTAATTCAAATCACTATTAAAAGAGTACGTATGGTACAAGATTTTCAGATCCTAAAAAAACACACCTCATTTGAAATACATACTACTTACAAAATGCATTTTTAAGTCTCTAAGTACTCTCATAACATTGTAGTTTTAAATATGATTGTAGAGTGATTTTGTTGTTCATTCTCAAAGGAGGCTTGCTAGGAGCTGTGACGAGGATACAGGGAGCCCCTCTTCTCCATCACCCTTAATGCCTGGGCAAATCATGGGTTAAACTGAAGAGATGTAAGCAGGCTGTGCAGGGCTGTTACTAGATGGCATAAAGCTGGAGGAGGATCAGAGACATCCCAAGAGCCAATCAGTCAAGCATCTTCCAGCACCTAGCTTCTCCTGTCCAGCAGCAGGAAAGACCTAGCAACATCTGGTTAGCTTTGCAGCCCAAACTGTGTATGGCCAGGTGAAGACCTTCTCATGCACCAGTGGGAGAGGGTCCCAAGCAGGATGGGTGCTCTGGGCCTCCAGCCATGGTGAAGCTGGGTGCAGGTCCAGGTGGTCAGGATGCCCTGTCAGCCCCATGTCCTGTGATCGAATTGTCACCCACAGGGAGGCAGCAAAGGCCACATCTCTGGTTCTGTAGAGCCTTCACAGTGCAGAACTGAAAGTTGTGCATGCTGTGGTGTGTGTTTCTGTGTGTGCGTGTGTGTTTGTGTCTGTGTGTGTGCTCATGTGTGTGTGTATGTGTGTGGTGTGTAAAGGCATAGGAAAGTCTCCTGAGGGGGACACGCAGTCCATGTAGGCCTGTGAAAAGCATGGAGTTGAACAGGTTTCCAATGTTGCAGTCAAACCAGTCCCCGATGATCTCAGAAATTGTTAATGCACATATCCATCCAGCCCTGAGTGCTGCTCTAGCAGTAGCTCATAGCAAGTACCTAGCATGGAGCATAACAGCTGAATGAATAAAGCTACATTTCCCCAGAAGATTCCCACCACCTCCAGCAGCTGAGGCGGTGTTTTCCACCCCTTTGAATGAGGGGTAATGTCAGATGCATGTGAGCCCATCCTGGCAGAGATAAACAGCGTGCTGATGTGTTCAATGGGCCCCTGCCCGTCCTTCTGGCTGCCTTAATCATCTGTAGTGATATGCCATAAATGCAGTTTGGAAGCCCATAGTCCACACATTTGGCAAATTTCACTTCTCCTGAGGAACCTCAGTATTTTCTGACCAAAATGGTCAGGAATTGTTTTGAGGTTCTTAAACATGCAGGTTCCACTGTGACCAAAAGCTCTCTAGATTCTGTTCCTCATGTGTTTGGCAAGAGGAAAGTTGTCCCAACAGTTGCTACTGCCTGAAACAGGATACAAGTAAATCAACCTTCTCAGCATAACATCTTTTGCTGTTTCCTTCCTGATGGAAGGAAGTTCAGAATACACACTCCCAAGGTGCTGTTTGGGTGACTGTGGAGTTACAAGGGTCACCACACTGCCTTTTCCTGTTTTTGGGAAACAGGGGGTTTTCAGGCCAGATCTCTGACGTTTGTGATTTGTTATTCTGGTCTGTCACTTCTTTGCATATTCTTTCTCCAGGAACTGTAAAAAAATGGGAGAATGAATTGTTCCAGACTGTTCATTAAGGATATTCACCAAAATCAGAAAAAAGCTTTCATCTTTTTACAGGGCTAATTATTTGTTTAAGTGCTTGTTAGTTTAAGTATTTGCTGATTCAGAGCTTGTCAGGGGGAAAAAGGAGAGAATAGCTAGGACATTGGAGAACAACTGGAGGATATTTGGGAGCATTTAGGAGCTCTGGGCAGCTATGGCTTTGGGGCTGAATTCTACTTCCTTCAGTCCTATGTTAACTGCAAGGCCTATCCTCATGTTTCTCTTCAGGATTTCATCTCTATCTCCTTTCTGGAAATCGGTGCTCAATCAAGGACACTTGCTTCCCGGAGCGACACCACAGCTGAGAAGCTGAGCCAGCAGTGTGCTGAGAAGTTTGAAGTCTCCAATCCCAAGGACTATGGACTCTTTGTTTATGTTGATGACCAGTGGCTGCAGCTGGATAAAGATGCCCTTCCTCACCATATTAAATCCTCCCTGCTGAAGAGTGAAACCAAGAAAGATTTCCATTTTATTTATAAACCAATAGACCCTAAAACCCCACCAGTTCCAATTGTCAAAGAGTCAGACTTTCTCTAATGGGCTGTGCTGTTTTTTTGCTGCATTTGCTGTCATCCTGGAAGGGCTGGATAGTTTACCTTGTGAGATCCTCTGGTATCTGCAGTTCTCAAAAGGTCTCTGGAGTGTGGCCTTCAACACAGGGCAGGTGGGCTAATTGTAGATGCTGTCTGAACACAGGGCATTTCTCAGCAGAGTTCATTTGCAAAAGTAAAAGGAGCATTCAGGAGAACGTTCATCCTCTGGAAAACTTGAAATATCAAGCCTCATAACCTCCCACTGGCAACCAGCTGACATTGCACAATGTAAACGGACAGTGGAGAAAATCCAGATATCTTGCAGAAAAGTGGACATTTACTTCATACTAAATTAATGCAGGTGTGAATCACCTCTGTGCACAAGGCCTGTGAAAGGTCTGCACACACTTACTTCAATCTGTTTGGAGATAAGACTGTGTTTGTGCCTTACAATATCTGTTCACCTAGTTTGAATAAACTGGGTCTTGTCTGATGTATTCAGTGGCATAGGGATGTCACCTTTAGCAGAACTCCATCTCCGTCTTGCTGTCAACAACATGTCTTTGCCTTTGAAATCCATGTAATTACAAACCATGCAAGATGATCCTGTGCCTTCACTAAGAATACATTTTTTGCCATCTATTTTTCACTGAAATCAGGTAGCTTAGGAATTTTCATCACTGTATTTTTCTTAAAGGCTGGAAGTCTTCACCATCAGTTTTATATGTACAGCAGTTTTAATCACATCGGTTGTATGATAGTGTTTGGTTAGTTGTATATTTATTTCAATGTGTGATATGGTGCAATTATTTTGAAATAAGCCTGTGTAAAGAACTTAATAATTTGCCCAGTGTATCAAACCAGATTAAAAATTTAAAGTCAAAAATAGCTAGAATTAAATACCTGTCCCTTTTACCTGGCTGTCATTTTCACTAGTGTTATCCTATCTATAAGTCCCACCAGGTTATGACTTTAATAAATTCAGGCTGTTGCAGGCAGAACTTGGTAATTCTCCTTTCTACCTGTGCTTTCATTCATTCAGTCATTGTAGACTTAAATTTCCTTGAAAACATAAATTCCCACAGAACACATTGAACCAATGCAAAAACGTATTTCATTAAATTTGAAAACAATTTTTCAGGATTGGATAATGGAAGTGTTAGTTGCAGGACAGGTCCATGTTTTTGGGTACCTTCATTCACGCAAGGTGCCCGCTGGATATTGGATCGTCTGCATGTTACACACGCTTGGAATCAGGCCTAGAAAAACTCTGATTAGAAAGAAAAGGTGTTTTACCCTGGGTTTTGCTCAAAGTTTTTATTGTTTCCTTCCATTAAAATTCAAAAAAGATTTGGGGCAACTTGGCCTAAGTTGCCCAGGGTCTCTGCCTTATTCCTGAAGATCCAAAGGTAAAATGGTATCACATATAGCTGGTTACTCTCTTAGTCTCTGTGGCTTGAAATAAATGTCTGTGTCTACATGCCCCAGCTGTAGTGTGCAGTGGACAAATCTGCATACAGATAGCAAACCAGTGCTGTGCATCTGCCAGCTTGGGCTGCATGCACGTCTTGTCAGGAAGGACAATAACCAAGAATGAGGAACAGTGAATAACAGCAATCTTCGTTTTGAGGATATCACGTGCAGAGCTTGCAGTGTGTCACACTAGCTCTGAGCTGACTCCAAATCCATGGTTATTTCTGCTTATGTGCAGCTGTCAGCACCTCCGCCTTGCCTCTGGGCAGCACACCCACAGGATGCCAGAGCTGAACACCTCCCTCGTGCTGTCCTTACCCTCCTGCAGTGCTGTGTGCTCCTGCTGGAAGGCTGTGCTGCTCTCAGGGTGGCACTTGGGATGCCATGAGGAAACCTGATATACAGGTTTCCAATATCAATCTAGGCAGTGATGCTGCTCTCAGAGCCCCAAGGGCACTCACAGGCATGGCTGCTTCCAGTGCCTCCCCAGTGCCCCCCCATCCTGCCCATGGCCTGGAACCCCATTTCAGCCTCCCAGGGCTGTCAGCCCCTGCCCCAGTGGTGCTGCAGCAGGCCTGGTCTTGAGCTCCCCACAGCCCTGCCCTGCCTGGCCTGTCTGTCCCCATCCCCGGGGAGGTGCTGGAATGCCCAGGACTGGGGCTGTAGCAGTGGGACAGGGCTCCAGAGAGCACCCATGGCCCCTGGAGCTGCTGGCCTCTCTGCCTCAACAGCATGTTCCCCATGCCCATCCAACAGGCTGCGACAAGGATGTCAGCTCCCGCCCTTCTGCCGCCCTGCCCGGGACATTCTGTGCCAACAGAGGCACAGGGCAGCAGGCCCTCACTGACAGGCTGGGTACAGGGTGTCCATAGTTGCTCCAGCCATGAGGCAACAGATCCTCACCCTACCCAGCCCCTCAGTCCACCACCAGCCCTGAGTGTAGGGTAAGCTCACAGCAGTTTTCCCTTCTGTTTGGAGCACTGCCAGTAAATCCCTGACACAGCGCAGAGAGGCTGGTTTTCCTGTTTCCACCATAGGTATCATCGCTCATGTCCCTGTCTCCTGAGGGCTGACCTGCTCCATGTTGGCTACACTGAGAATGATCTCAACTGTCACTGCTGAGGCTGCAGCAGCAGGATGGTCCAACCTTTGGGCAGCATCACTTACAAACCTTCCTTTTTTCTCAAACCTACCATCCCACACACTCTTCAAATCCTCTGTTTTGCACTTGCTCTCCCAAATGAGACACTCCCTTCCATCTCTCACCTGCCTGTTCCATCCAAACCACGGGCCCAAACTAGCTCTCTGTCTGCCTCCCACCAGCCTTCTCACCCCTCTTGATAGGACTCCAAGCCATGTACCCACTTCACTTCCACCACCTGTGCACAGGTATTATCACACTACATGAGGTCCACTGGACTGGGGGTTCCCAGCACCAGACCAGAATGTGGAACATCTGACCAACAACTTGGGTCTGCCATGGCTGCTCCGAGTAACTTTAAGCAAAGATGTATATGTCTGCCAAAGTCTTCGGCCTGATCAGGTCATCGTTATACTGTAACATTCACAGTCACTGGGCCCAAAAGTAATCTGATGGGTATGAGGTCAAAGTAGAAACATGGAAGGAAAGAAGCTAGGACTGATCTGCTGGATATTTCTGGACAGCAACTGGACTTTGCACCAGCCAGGGCTGAGCAACAGATTGATGAACTGAAGCGCTCCAGCACTTCCTGAGAAGTCTGAGTCGGCAGCTGGACTTTGGGGCTGGGGGGCATTACAGGATATAGAGCTGGTCAGGGGAGCCTGGGGAAACTATGACAGTGCTAAATCACTGCAATCTAAATGGGCTCAGACTAAAATTTATCAAAGCCTAGATCCAAAATCCAGTTTTCAAAATGCAAGGAGCGTCAGCTGAATTTATGTGGGCTTTTACAAAGGTTCTCAAATTCACATGCAACATTTTCCTCTGGCATAACAACTGGAAAGCTCTGATTTGATTTGCAAAGATTTCCATGGCTCTCCTGAACTCAGAGATTGTTGACAGTAATGTGAATTACTGTGCCTGGCTGCGAGCTGTCTGGAAGGAAATCCCTGTGCTAGGACTTGGTGTAGAGCAGGTCTTGCTCAGAGCCTGTGGTACACCTGGCCTATTTGGTCCCATTATACAAACCACCAGCAACAACTTCACTAATCATACCTCTCTGGGGCACAGGGATGACCTGGCTCCTCCAGGGCCTGACCACAGCTATCCCTTGTCAGGGAACACAAGATGGGAGATGACCCATATGATGGGATCCTGGAGGACCCAGGACAGAGACAGCTGCTGCCTCTCCAAGCTTACAGATCAGCGGTGTGGGGACTAAGGCTCTGCCTACACCAGGATTCTGGAGGAACAGCCTGTCTGGAACAAACTTGATGTTGTTTTAGTGACCTTGGCAAAGCTCTGAGTCCCCAGTGTGGAGATCACTGGAGCAATTCAGCACATCCCTTCCTCTGGGCCTTGGTGCCCAGGGTCCTGCACTGCTTTGGGCTGTTTTCTGACATTTTGGGTGGTGAGAGGAAAAAAAAGTCAAATGTGGGAATGAAATACACATTTTTAAATGCTCCATCGGATTTTATTCATTGGATTTGCCATGGGGTTTCCTCGCTGCAGCCCAGGCGAGAAGGAAGCAGTCCAGTCTGATGATCTGTAACCTCCCCTGGTTAGTCAAGATGGTCACGCTGTGAATCATGCACTAGCCCTCACGTGAGCCCTCAGCAGACAGGAGTGTTTCAGTGGATTTTGACCAAGTAGGGTTGTGCAACCCAGCCAAGGCCTCCTCAAACATTGTGCAATGATCATGCATTTACTCCCAAGGAAAGGATCCCAGTGTGAGAGAGAGGAACAGGGAGACCTGCTGAACTTGGCAACTTCTGCTAAGAAACAAAAAGCCTGTGTGGCCTCTGCACGCACAGAGCTGATGTAACGCCAGTTTGCTCCCAGCAATACAATCTATCAATAATTCATGGAAATTATTACACTGGCAGGTCATGTATAACCTAAAATAAAAGCCACTGAGATCAAAGGCAGTTTTCCTGCTGAATTCAAGAGCTTTTGGGCCTCCATATGCTCCAGTCACACCAACTGTACTTTGAAACCTGGCCCAAGACTGGGTTTTTTTCAGAGGTTTGTGAAGAGATTCGGGCTGGCAGGGACCCTTGGAGGTCGTCAGTCCAATCCCTGCTCAGGTGGGGCTGCCTCCCAGGGTTGCTCAGGGCCTCATCTTTCAGTGCTGCAAGACTCCAAGGCTCAAGGTCATGCAGCCCCCCTTGTCCCTACTCCAGCATTTCAACCCCTTGCGCTGTGAAAAATGGTTTCCTCCTATCCAGCTGGTGTGAAGACCCTGGCTGCTCTAGCAGAGTCCCTCCTTGGATGAGTGTTGCTACTGTAGGATACTGGCCAGCTCTGCCTGTGGTGTGAGGGATTGCAGAATTGTAGTACTTCTGTTGTCTCCTGCCTCTTTTGGGGTATTATGCCCCTAGGAAGGAAACACCCTCTGATTAAGAATTGCCCAAGCTCTTGGCACAAAATGCTGCTTAGTCAGCACTTTGGCTTAAGCATCCTTTCCGTCTAATTCTCCTCCATTCCTGTTCTCACAAGGCAGAGGCTGAGCACAGGAATGAGAGGCCTTCAACCTTTTGCCCTGAGATGGGCACAGCTGCTCAGCACTTACCTCAAGCCATCCTGATAAGACAAGATGCAACATGATTTGAAGAAAGCTAAAATAATACTGCTTACTGGAATCTCTAAAAAAGTGCATTATCTCTAACTCACATGAACTGCTTTCTGCTTCTTTGCTGGTAGAGAAGGGAGGGCAGTTACTTGTACTCTGAACCAAACTGTGTCCATCTAAGTTTGCATTCTACAGAAATAGTCAGCACACACTGGAGATAGTTCATGGATCTGCCCTCCAGGTGCTCTCAGAGGAAAGGCGCTGAACTGCTGTGTGCAGCAGGATGTTGGGCAGAAACACGTGGCAGATTTGGCACACGGGTGGGAAAAGGGCCTTGAACTACATTCTAGCAATAAGGAGAGGAGGAGAGGAAGCCCTGTCTGGGGCCAATGACACTATTCCCATGGGTTACAGATAACATGCAACCATTCTGCTATTTTTGTAAATGACACAGCCTCAACTTTGCCCTGTTCTGCCCCGTGGTGACAATTTGCTGGAAATCTGACAGTTTTCCATATTTTTCATTCCAGCATCCCAACATTCTAGGAATGGTAGCCTGAGCAGCTGCATGCCTGCAGAAGAGTGAGGGTGTCTGTACTTGCTCAACACACCACAAGATACTCTTGCACAATCCTAAAATTATTTTCTCATCAGGTTCTATTACCATCCCAAAATAAACAACCTGCAATGCCTGTGTGAT